GTCCAACTTTCACATGCATATGAGAAGGTTGAAAAATGGGCACCTTTGTGCTTAAAGTGACATCCTTGCTCTTTAACTCTTTTAAGATGTCTTTTGCAGTCTTCATTTGATTTTTTTTTAATTGCCACTCCCATATGTGTTTATTGTGGATCCAAGTTAGGTGAAATCCTTGATGATTTCAAGATCTTTCTCCATTTAGTGTGGGATTGATTCTTGATCCCATTGCAAGGATTTTTGTTTTCTTTCTGTTAAAGTGTAATTCACACTTACAGCTCATCTTCACTCTTCATTAGTAAGTGCTTCAAGTTCTCTCTGCTTTCAGCAAGAAAGATTGTGCCATATGCATATGTTAGCTTGTTAATGACTCTCTTTCCAACCCTAATGCTACTTTCTTATGTGTATGGTCCAGCTTTTTAGATTATTTGTTCAGCATACATAATGAAACTTTCTCTAAACACATGGAGAAGCTGAAAAGAAGATTTCCAAGGGCTGCTCTAGAGTAAAGGCCTGTAATGAAATTCCAAATATCTGGAGTTGTTGTTATTGTTGTTGTTGTTGTTATGTGCCGTCGAGTCGTTTGCGACTCATAGCGACCCTATGCACAACAGCCCTAAACCCTGCTCTGTCCTGCGCCAACCGCACTGCCTCTGACACACCCATCCCGATTACCCCAGTCACCGAATCAATCCATCTCACAGAGGATCTTCCCCTCCTGCGCCGTCCCTCCACCCTCCCAAGCATGATGTCCCTCTCCAAGGACCCGTCCTTCCTGGCAACATGTCCAAAGTATGTCAGACGAAGCCCCAGAATCCTTGCCTTCAAGGAGTAGCTTGGTTTAATCCTCTCCAAGATGAATCTGTTTGTTTTCCTGGCAGTCCATGGTACATTCAGTACCCTTCTCCAGCACCACAGCTCAAAGGCATCAACTCTCCTTCTGTCCTCTCTAGTCATTGTCCAACTCTCTGATGCATAAAAAGCGATTTCAAAGACCATGGCCTGTATCAGGTGCACCTTAGTCTCCAGAGAGACACCTATCTGGAGTTAGAAGAGAAAAATAGGTGAACATATTGTAGTTGGTCATAACTCAGATGTTTTCATAACTTTGTCCCTTGAATTCTTTACTGTGTTCATGAATGTACTTGCATTATGTGTAAATAAATACCTATGTGGATATAATTTCTGTCAAGCCTACTTGTGACTGTGGCCTCATTCACGTTCTTACACCATATATGCATTTGTAAACTATTATTTTTACGGTTACTGCAGAATTTTTAATATAATAGTATTTACTTCAGGGAGCTCTGATGCCACTCCCTAAAGAACTGCACTGCCAACACAAAGGTAGGCGTTTCAGATCTTCTAGCTCTCAATGGGAAAAGATGGGCAGTCTCCTCCTGTGCCATTTGCAGCCTCTGGAAACCTGCTGGGGGCGCAGCTAGGAGTCGGTTCTGACACAGTGGTAACAATAGCGATGACTCTGTTCTGTGGCCTTTAATGCTATGCTCCTTCTAATGACCAGTGTTTAAGTTAATGATTTTTTTTTAGTGTTTCATTTTCCTTTAATGCTTACTCATCCTTACTGAGTGTTGGTGGTTGTTGTTGTTGTTGTTCTGTGCCATTGAGTCGCTTGCGACTCATAATGACCTTATGTACAACAGCCCTAAACTGCTCTATCCTGTGCCAAATGCACTGTCTCCAGTGCACCCATCCCAATTACCCCAGTCACCAAATCAATCCACCTCATAGAGGGCCTTCCCCTCCTGCGCTGTCCCTCCACCCTCCCAATCATGATGTCCCTCTTAAGGACTGGTCTCTCCTTACAACATGTCCAAAGTACGTTGGATGGAGCCTCAGAATCCTTGCCTCCAAAGAGTAGCCCAGTTTAACCTCTCCAGGATGAATCTGTTTGTTTTCCTAGCAGTCCATGGTACTCTCACTACACTTCTCCAGCACCACAGCTCAAAGGCATCAATTCTCCTTCTATCCTCCTTAGTCATTGTCCAACTCTCTTATGCATAACAAGTGATTGCAAAAACCATGGCCTGTATCAGACACACCCTAGTCTCCAGAGAGACACCATTGCTCTAGAGAACTTTGGAAAGGTCCCTAACAGTAGACTTTCCCATGGAAATACATCTTTTCATTTCCTGGCTACAGGTGTCAAGGTGTCAAGAGTGTTGCCTGTGGAGCCAAGCAAACTAAAGCTGTGAAATTAGATATTGTTAAGGAAGAAATGGAATGTATAAATATTGACATATTAGGCATTGGTGAGATGAGATGGACTGACATGGGGCAATTTTGAGTCGGATGATCATATGATATATTACGGTGGAAATGAAAAGGTGAGGAAAAATGGGGTTTCTTCAATAGTTAGAAAAGCCATTTCTAGATCCGTCTTGAAGTACAATATTGTGTGACAGGATAATATCCATACGCATACAAGGAAGTCCAGTGAATACCACTATCATTCAGATATATGCACCAACAAACAGAGCTAAGGAAGAGGAAATAGAAGATTTCTACCAACTTCTATAGTCGGAGATCGATCGAACATGCAATCAAGATGCATTGACAGTAATGGGTGACTGGAATGCAAAAGTTGGGAACAGAGAAGAATCAGGAGTTGGAAAACACGGACTCAGTGACAGAAATGGAACTGGAGAGAGAATGATTGAATTTTGCACAATCAATGACTTATTCATTGTAAATACGTTTTTAAGAGACATAAACACAAGTTATATACATGGATTTCACCTGATGGTATGTATAGGAATCAGATTGATTACATCTGCTGAAAGAACTGCTGGAGAAGCTCAGTATCAGCTGTGGAAACTAGGCCAGGAGCTGATTGTGGAACAGACCACCAACTACTCATATGCAAGTTCAAGCTGAAGCTGAGGAAAATTAAACCAAATCCACGGGAACCTAAATATGACTTTGAGTCTATCCCACCTGAATTTCATAACCATCTCAGGAACAGGTTTGAGGCTTTGAACACTAATGAGTGAAGACCGAGTGTTGTTGGTCATTTCAATATAGAGAAAACCATCCTCAAAAATAAAGTTTTAGTATTGATTTTATTTAAGTCATTTACAACTCTTTATGCTTTTCCTTTATATCATCTCATCTTGACCTTAGGTCACTTATGTTACCAAGAGTTTTCATTTTTTCTTGGACTGAGGCTTATTTGAAGTGATCGTGCTAGTCTGGTTTTGAAGTCTTTTGCAGTTCCTTCTAGTGTTCTTATACTTACTGATGCTGACTCCTGAGGTTTTGTTCAATGAAAGCCTTCTGATTGTTATATATGAAAGAATCCTTTCTATTAATTCACACTTGTGATATTCTTATCAGCCAAAGTCATAAGTTTATTGGGTTCAAATACCCCACTGCCCACACCCGGACAATTCTTTTCTCAAGCACATAGTCATACTTCTTAAACTTGCAAGTTTCAGAGGCTTAAAGTACAAGAATTAGGAGTTTTCATTTCTTTTAAAATTTTATTGACATTTTCCCATCCCCAGTATGTTTAGCTAGAATTGTCTTGGGCACCAATTACCTAGGAGAATAAGTTTTAGTCATTAGTTTATCAGTTAATTTATGAAAATTGAATTTAACCTTTATACTGTATGCCTTGGAGAACATAATCTTTCCAGCAAAGTCTGAAAGAAATTGAACATTATTGCTTTTCTGATGTGGAAAGGAAAATTCGTGTTCTGTCTCTTTTGCATTTATTTATTTTAGCTTTTACCAGAGGGAAGGAAGTACATCTATCTATAAAACCTTAAAACAGCAACAACAAAGTGAACTTTAAATGCTTTCTGAAACTATTTTCATCTGCATTAACAATGTATATGGTTATCAAAGTTAATTAGCACAAAACAAGTAAGTTGCCCAAAATTAGATGTGTTTCCAATTCAGAGGAAGCTGACTGGACAGTTGATATTATAAATAACAGCCCAGCCACTATAGAATGACTCAGATATTCTGTTAAGGATCTTAACTGGTGGCCTGGTGGAAAAGAAGTTGTGCTGTCACCCAGACAGACAGTTCAAATCCACCAGCTGCTTTGTGAGGGTAAGATAGACAGCCTCCTCCTGTATGACTTAAAGCCTCTGAAAACCTGCTATAAGGTCAGCAACGAGCTGGTTCCAGCTCCACACCCATGAGAGGGGTCTTTTTAGTAATGGTATTTGGATTTTGAAATCTTATTTTGAGATATTATACATAAAGATATCGTGAATGTAGCCAGAGTTACACAGTTTTATTTCTGGAATTGCAGGATTAAAAATTGCAACTGAAGGTCAATAATTGTCTTTTAATGTTATCTGTTCTGTAAGGTGGCAAGTCCCAGTCTATGAAATTGTTCTTGTTGTGAATGTAGTACTGAGTCTTTCTTTACCTTAACTTTCGGTTTTTACCTATTTTTTACATCAGTTATGTGTGAGAGACTACGAAATCTTGTTTAGTTATCTTTCAGGAGACTTTTATTTCCATATAAGGTTAACCAGTATATTTACCCTATATGTAATGATCAATTCAAAATCTCATTTAAAAGTGTTTGATGTTTATTACTTAAAATATTAAAATTATTTTAATCACAAGCAAGCAAAAATCAATAGATATTATATATTTCTAAACAGTAAACAACTTATATGTTTATATGGTTCATGTAGTATAAATATGATATATAATTAAAAGTATTAAAACATTTTATTTCCTCAATTATTTTTTCTTCCTGTAAAATTCTGGCTCAGTACAGCCCTCATCAAAATCTGTTGCCTGAATTTTCTTAGTTTATTAGCTAATAGAACCTGTGTTGTGAAGAAATGCAGTATTTAAAGACTGTTAAAGATCCATCAGCAGAGTTGATAGATGTGACTTTATCCTGCTGGCTTTTTCATTGAACATTAACTACTTTCAATAAAGCTAAGTGCAGTCGTCTTACTCTCTCCTTACTTCTCAAATTCTTAGCATCATTTCACTCTTTTTGATCCTGCTAGGCTCTGATCCAGTGTGAGCAGCTGAAGAATGAGCTGGAGAGGCATTCAGAGCGACTTGAAAAAGAACTTGCATCCCAGCAGGAGAAAAGGGCCTTTGAGAAGGAGATGATGAAGAAGGAAGTGACAAAAGAGAGGGAGGAAGCCAAGGCGAAGGTACCCAAGGGTTTCTATCCATATTGCAGAAGGTCCTGTGAGGCTGACAGAGGTCATGGTTTTACAGGCTTCAGTTCTTAAGAAGTCAAATTTCTTACAATTTAGACTTGCTAAATATTTAATACTTTCCATATCTTTCTCCCTAAAATTCTGTTATTTGATCTTTTTATATAAAATAGCATTCTGTATTATAAAATTAACTTTAATCTTACATTGCCTTTGACTGCTTCCCTCCCAGTTTGCTTGAGGGCAGCGGTTACTCTGAAGATACTTAGATTTCCAACTTTTTTCAACTTTGGTTAAACAGAGAGATTTCATCTCTCACCCTTAAATTAAATTTGTGCAAGATAGCATGTTGTAGGAAGCTGAGTAATCGAGAGAAAGTGATTCCATGTTGTAGGAAGTTGTTGTTAGATGCTGTCAAGTCAACAACAGTAATCCTGTGAATAACAGATGTCATATTTAAAATATTAAACAGCACATCATAATGTATCCTGCACTTTACAGTTTCCATCAGGTCTAACTGTAGATGGTAGGTTTTAACAAATTTACATTATGAGTAATGACACTAACTAAATTTATTGAAAAGGCAGAGATTAAAGGCTAAAGAAATGGAAAACTTGAAATTCACATTGTTTGAAAAACAGTAAATCAAAACGTGAGATTGACGGAACCAACCAGCCATTTAAAATTGCTAACAATAGAGTAAACTTGAACAGGAAGTAACCAAAGTAACCCTGTTCTGTAGGAATATTCTTTTCCCCAGGTGAGCTCACAGCCTGTGCCCTAAGTTCAGTGTTCTTAAACTATTGCAATGTATGAAAAAATTAACTCATTCTCCAAGTTATTGCCGAGTATCTGCTTTGTGCTAGATAATATAAAATCCCGAGGACATGGAAAAGAAGAATTGCTCATTGGGTTTTAAGCCTTCTGTGGATAAGCTGAGGCATTTGTTGTCATCTTCAGCTCTTCTCTCTAGGGGATGCAGTCCATCTAGAAATAGACACAGCAAGGTTTAGTGTGAAGAAATGGTTAATGCAGTTGTGGAGCGTGGCAAGTCCCAAATCCATGGGTCAGACCACAGGCAGAAAGCTCCTGATTCTAGTGGTTTCAGGGACTGGTAAACACAAGGAAGGTGTTGTCTACAACAAGATGAATACAGTGTAGAGAAACTGGTGTGTGTGTGTGTGTGTGTGTGTGTGTACATGCATGTGTGTGTGTGTGGGAGGGGGTGGAGAGTGTGCCATCACATCTCTTTATATCCTCCACACAGCAGGACACACTGCCATGGAAACTCCTTTTCCAACTGATTGGCTGCTCATATCAGAATACAAAGGGGGAGGTTATTACATAGTGTCCACCCAACCACTGAACCTAGTCAAGTGGACACAGCGTTAATCACAACTGTAAACTCTCTTGTCCTGCCTGGTGGCCTCGTGGTAAGAAGCTGTGCTGCAGTCCCAAAGTGGTGTGGTCAAATCTGTCAGCTGTTCTGCAGGGAAAAGGATGAGGAATCTCCTCCCATACAATTTACTGCTTCTGAAAACCCTCTGGAGGGTCAGCTGTGGGTCAGCTCTGACTTGATGATGTACAACAATGGGTCAATCTGCTTACTTTTTCTGGGTTGGGATTCTTGGCTGGGAGAAATCCTATAACTCTGTAGATGGCCCCCTGCACATGCATGATCACCAGTGTCAATGGTTCTTCCAGTGCTTTCTCCTTTACACACTTTCCCCATTCATTTAATAGCATGTGTTTAGTAAATATCTCTTCTGTGCCAGCATCTGGGAATATAGTTGTCAGAGGACCATGCAATTCCCCACGAAGCTTCCAGATTAGTGGGAAAAGTGTACGTCAAGCACTGCTTCAACCAATGAGCTTTAATTAACATTATATGAAAGATTAGAAAGTATGGTGTAAACCCCACTAGATGAAGCTAAGATAATCTATGCTGTGAGCTAGGGTTGATTGCTGCAAACTGGTGGCTGGTTCTGGACAGGGCTTAGGTTGTGGATGCAGATGCTCAAAGACTCCAAACAGGAGATCCTTCAGCAAAAGAGATGTGCTTGTTCTCTCAGAGTACTGGTTAGGTAGGGATGGACAAACCAGAAATTTGCTATCTAAAAAGGGGATATTAAAGCATGAGGCATGATGTACCTGGCTTACATACTTTCACAAATGTAGTTGTTGGTAAGATGATTGGAAAGGGGAAACCCCTACAATATACATGAACAAAATACAGTGTGGGAGGTGATTCCAATCCAGGAAGGAGAGGAAGGTGGACTGACATGGTGACTGCTACAATGGGCTCTTGTGTGTCAGGAAGTGTGAGGATGGCGCAGGATAGAAAAGGGTTCAGACCTTTTGGTCATAGGATTGCTATGAGTTGTACTCGACTCGACGGCACCTAACAACAATATGCCCAAAGTATGTGAGACAAAGCTTTATCATCTCTGCCTCCAAGCAGCACTGACTGTACCTTCTCCAAGACATACCTGTTTGTTGCTTTGACAGTCCATGGGATAGTCAACACTCTTAATTTAGAATAAGCAATTTTAAGCCTGGTTTAGAATGACCATTATCATTCTGACATTAGAGAATGTAGCCAGTAGCAATACTGCAGAGATTTCTCAGCTATTTATGTTCATTAAAGCAGATTGATTTGGATCTAAACCCTAGCTTTTATTTTTTAAGTTTGAATGAATTTGGGCAAATAACTTAATATTTTGTATCTCACTTTTTAATAATCTAAAATGAGGCCAATATAATCCCTCTCCAAGAGCATTAAAGGAATCAGCATCACACAGACCATCCAATTGACCATTACACATCAAGCACCATGTAACCTGGACCATGGCAAGTATCCCTGCTTCCCTAACATCAGACTAGTGGTTTCTCTCTGTTTCCTTTTTCTTCTATCTCCTTTCCTTTCTTTCTCTTTTCTCGTTTATTTTCTTATTTAAAAATCCCAGCCGATGAAAATTCAGACATAAGTCTCAGAGAGCAGATGCCTTCCACCCAGAAGGCTGAGTCATTCTTTCTGGAATGATATTTTCTGTGAGTTGGATTGTTGTCTTCAGTAACAATACTGGGTTTGCACCAAGCCACTCAGGTTTGTCAGCTCAGCCAGTCATCCATCATATACCGAGGACCTTGAATGGTGCAGATACTTTCTCATTTGGTTCCCTAGATAATGGTCCATTGCTGGGATATTTAATTCATGTACCTCATGTGTGGGGAGTCCTGCTTCACACCCTGCCCTGTGCCTCAGAGATTGCTTTAGCCCCGAACTTTCTATTAAGTTCCCCCCAGCTTGGGTGTCCTTGCCTGTTCCTCGACCCTGTCAAAGTTTAAAGGACTTACCTGATGTCAGTGCCCTGGACACCCAGCAGTGCTGCAGCTGTGTCTGTGTTCCTTCTGTCTCCGCAACAGATGTGGATGGAGGAGCTCCTGCAGGGTAATGTTGACTTCCAGATGGTGGGCATGGGGGAGAAGAAGGTGTGACAACAGGAGGGGAGGGCTCAGGAAGTGGGTGACAGGAGGCAGCAGACAGGTAGTGGGCAGGGGAAAGAAGTGATGGGTGGCACAGCCAGGAAGTCAGATGGAAAGGGGAAGGTTTGATACATGTCTTAGAATAGAAACGGGTTCAGAATTTACAATTAGGAAATACATGTCTGCATATTTATTTCTAAAAAAGCACACAAAGCTTACAAGTTTATCATCAGATGTCTCTCCACATAAATAATGCTGACTTTTAGTAGCTGGCACTTAAGGTTTTATTACTCCTGTGTGAGTCCAGAAAAGCTGTAACTATATACTCATTAGGTGGTACACATGAAGTAGAATTTCTAAATTAAGTTCATATTTTTTATTTAGCACTGTTAACTTCTTTTGACCTTTGATTTTAAGTTCAGATTTTATTGTGCACCGGAATGCTTTACAGCTTAATGTTAGAAAAACTAATTTTCTGTGCAAATCAGATTTGTAGCCAGTCTTCTGGTGATGAAGAAGACATGCAGTCACAAATCAAATATGCAATGGTGCACAACACTCGGAAAAGTTCATTAATGTGTCTACTGCATAAAATGGAGACTAGCTTTAGCACCTTTCTTGATTTATTGGTATAAAACTCTTTATTTACCCAAAACTTGTTCATTATTCATTTCCTCTCAGAATGTTAGTTACTGATTTCAACTGTAAGGCCAGATCACACCCATATCAGTGTATGATCATCATTGTCATTTCAAATGTAATTATTTCAAATCATAAGTTTCAATAGGAAAAAGCCAAACTGGTAGGTGCCCATAAAAACTTTGGAAGGATAGCATTTCTTCCTTATTTTAAAAGTCTAACAACAATAGAAATCAACCAGAACATTTTATTTTCTGAAAGCAAAGCAAATAATAATAATTGTGAAAAGCTATAGATGTTAAAGATAAGCTCATCTAGTCCTGACAAGAAAAACTTAGACCCTGATATTCCTAGTCCATTGGAACAGTCATGTTTTGTAATTATTCATTCATTAATCAGATGTTTAGTGCCTCCTGAGGAGCTTAAAGACTGTTAATCTAAAGAGGGCTCAACAGACAACTGAAAATGATGAGATAATGTCCCATGGTTTCCATAATAAAATCTCATAACATGGGTGACTTTAAAGTGTGGATGTATTTCTCGACGCTCCAGAGACTAGAGGTGCTAACCAGGACCTTACCGTGAGGACTCTGTCTGAGCCTCTCTCGTAATTTCTGGTTACTGATGTCAATCCTTGACCTTTTTTTAAAAAAAATAAAAATTAATTGTTATGTTTTATTAAAAGGGTTTGTGGGGGGGGTGTGCATGTCTGTGCATGTGCATCAGACTTATATGTTCATTTTAACCAAAACCTATCATGTAACCACCCATCAAGATCAGAAACAAACCTTGCTGGCACCAGAGAAGCCCCTGTGTGGCTCTCGTTGCTCCAGATGCATCTGCCTCAATTGTCACATGTTATTTCCCCA